TAAAAAAAGATATGACCTGAAAAATTTAAAGAACATACTGAAAAAGAAGAATGTTAGATTGAACAAGTTGAAAGTTTAAAAAGATAGAGAAAATTTATAAGTACAAAGGTACTATAAACATAATACATTCCGATGGAAAGTTGAAGAAAACACACTTTAACAGACAATTTCTACAGCACACGGTTACATTTACGACAGAATTTATGTCGATAAAAAACATCTGATCTGAGTCCTAATCTCCAAAACTCCTGATCTTAGTTTCACAGTCCATCACATGTATGTGTACTGCAAGGTACCATACCACAAAGGGAAGGCTGGGATTGAGTTTGGGGATAATGAATCATTTGGGGGGGGGGGGATTTTTTTTTCCTTTTTTTCTTTAAAATTTTCCATTTTAAATTGGTTATTTCTGATTTATATATAAAAGCAAATAATAATGATATGGTTTGAATAGATAAATTAAAAATTTTTAAGTTCTTAGACCACATTTATTCTGTGTCAGAAACCTATGCTGTGTCAAATATTTAATTACAATCCAAATTCAGTGCTGTATCAAGCTTGAATGTTGTGTCCATACTTGCCCCAACTGTTCAGGGTTCGACCTCTGCGGTTGTATCAAGCTGCGCCCCAGCGGAGCATTTTATTTAATTTTAGTTCATTTATATGTTTTGGAGTTTAGTGAGACATCCATTTTCACTGAACTAGCACACAATTTTATTTAGGGGTCAGCTGAGGATCACCTCTGGGTGCGGGATTTTCTCGCTGCATTGGTGGACTTCGGCTGTTGTCTGCTCTTTGGTCGGGTTGTTGTCTCTTTGACATATTCCCCATTTCCATTCTCAATTTTATTTTTATCACTAACATATTGGATATTCCAAACATTAATATGTTTGTTGGATCACATTTTGTTTTGTGTTCAATAAAATTTAGAAATTTAAAATGTCCTGCATCTTTCCAATTGAATCAAAAGTGAGAGCTGAGAAAGTGCCTTCCAACACCCCCATACATTCAGTTCTGGAACAGCCCTTTATAGAAAAGTACATTATATAAGATAAGTAGCACTAGCTAGATCTCCCAGTTTATACAGTGCTTGAATTTTCTGGTTAGTGACGCATAAGCACAAAGTGTAAACCATGCAATTGTGTTACAGAGCTAGCTAGCACATTGCATTGGGTTTCTAAGGGTTAGTAGGCACATGTGCTACATATAATAGTGAAGAATTATAACAAAAAGCAAGAGAAAATACATTGGTAGTCAAAATCAGTTGGCGCCCAAAAATAATTTATTTTAGTGACACCCTTGTTTCTATATTCTCATAGTTTTTATTGTCTATTGGAAAAAAATTATCAAAAACAGTCCTAAATTTAAAAACCAAAGTTATAAGTAACATTATCAAGAAAAAGTTTACTGTTCAGATTATTTTAAGCTGATTTTCCAATAAAATAAAACTAAAAAAAATGCTTTCGGTTTCTTATGGTTTCCTGTCGCATTTAAAAAAAAACCTTAATTTAACATTGAAAATAGATTTTAAATATTAACATGAAGCAAGTAACACTAGTAATTGTGTTCATTTATGTCTTGAAATAAATTGTGCAAAATAAAGAAAATAAAGTTTTGTTTCCTGTTTGGTTTCCTGTCACGAAAACGGTGAATCACAATGGATTAATTTTTGCTCGAAAACCCCACTTGTTCCATTAATACTATTCTCACACCAACACAACCCACAGAATAAAAGTTAAAAGTTTTAGAACTTAAAAAAAAAGAAACCAAAGGCCGAATACCAAATTATTACCCATATTACTTATAAATGGACTTTTATTCCAGTTAACATTACGTACAGTCTGCAGTTTAAGTTTTAAAACATTTATTAGATTCATAAACCTGCTTGGATTTTTACCAAACTTGAACAGAACTTCTTACAATCAAAAGATAGTATCTAGAGGAAAATTTTTAATAATTTTTTCCCCATTTTTGTTGAGCCTGCGACTAACAGCAAAAGTAGGCGAGACACTGGGTTCCACGGAACCCATACAAATTTTTAACAGTAAATAGAACTACAAGTGACTAGATTACTTGGGCATTACCTATGGATAACAGGTGTCAAATGTTAATTACTTAATCAACAGTACCCCTAATAAATGTTCACAAAACAGGAAAAAAGTAATAAAATTGATTTTTAAAAACTGCCTAAAACAAAATTATTTCCTGACTTATCAGCATGATAAAAATAAGTCAGACAATATAAAAATAAGATGTGAAGCATGAATTAAAAAATTATCAAACTAGTATTCACTATGATGGAACATTGTTAAATATGATTTATCATATCTATATAACAAGTTTAGTATAACCAAGTTGGGCATGTACAGTGAAAATGTGTGATTTATTTTATAAACAGTTTACTTAAGGAATTTACCATACCAAATGTTTCATTGTGAGATTGAGTTCTTGTGATACAAGAATATGCTTTGAAAGAATTTTGTGTTCCTTGGTGGAACACTGATATTAACTCCAATTTAAATTTTACACAATATTTTGGTATAACTACATGGATATTCAATAGCATAGAACTTTTAGTTCCAATTTTGACTTTGATGATCGACATAAATGAGCCCACTTATAATTAATCATAGAATTTAGAAACATTTAATGATAAGAAATTTCTAAGGAGTACATTGCTCTTTTATATTTCCTACTGAAAAACATTGCGAACACACAAGTTATCTTTCTTTCTTTGTTGCCCGGATGAAATTGTAAACATGGTGCTTCCATTTATTGAAAATCATGTCAAAATCAACAGAAATTTATGGATTTTACTGGAATTTGAAGTAAGGGAACATTTTTATACGCCCGTTTACGGGACGTATTATGGTATACCTCTGTCCGTCTGTCCGTCCGTCGTCAACATGTCGGACATTTACTCAAAAACGCTTTAACCAATTTGCATAAAACTTTGGTGAATTGTTTATATCTATTAACGTGAGCTCCCTTTCGTTTTTTATAAATTTTAGATTTTACGTTTCTGAGTTATGGGGTTTTATTCATTAAAAAAAGGGGGATTTTCCAGTTTTCGGACAATAACTCAAGAATGCTTTCACTAACATTCAAGAAATTGTGGTGAATTGTTTATATCAATTGACATGAGCTCCCTTTTGATTTTTATAAATTTTAGATTTTATGTTTCCTAGTTACAGGGTTTTATTCAGAAAAAAAGGGGATTTTCCAGTTTTTGGACAAAAACTCAAAAATGCTTTCAGCAGTTCTCATGAAACTTTGGTGAATTGTTTATATCTATTGATGTAAGCTCCGTTTAGAATTTTATAAATTTGCATTTTACATTTCTGAGTTGTGGGGTTTTATTCATTAAAAAAGGGGGGATTTTCCAGTTTTCAGACAATAACTCAAAAATGCTGTCAGCAATTCTCATGAAACTTTGGTAAATTGTTTATATATATTGATGTAAGCTCCCTTTTGATTTTCATAAATTTCTAATATGACATTGAGAATGAATTGAACTTTATTTGTTTATAGTCTGAAAACAGATTTACTAAGTATTGCGCAACAGCACAGTGTATTACACAACAGCAAGAAATCTTTAATTGAATATAAATTCAATTCATATAACCAGTTTCAAGTTCTTTGACTAGATTTATTCAGAAACCTATAATATGTCAAATATTTAATTACAATCCAAATTCAGACCTGTATCAAGCTTGAATATTGTGTCCATTTTTGCCCCAACTGTTCAGGGTTGTACCTCTGTGGGCTTATCAAGCTGCGGGGATTTTCCAGTTTTTGGACAAAAACTCAAAAATGCTTTCAGCAGGTCTCATGAAACTTTGGTGAATTGTTTATATCTATTGATGTAAGCTCCGTTTAGAATTTTATAAAGTTTACATTTTACATTTCTGAGTTATGGGGTTTTATTCATTAAAAAAGGGGGGATTTTCCAGTTTTCAGACAATAACTCAAAAATGCTGTCAGCAATTCTCATGAAACTTTGGTAAATTGTTCATATATATTGATGTAAGCTCCCTTTTGATTTTCATTAATTTCTAATATGACATTGAGAATGAATTGAACTTTATTTGTTTATAGTCTGAAAACAGATTTACTAAGTATTGCGCAACAGCACAGTGTATTACACAACAGCAAGAAATCTTTAATTGAATATAAATTCAATTCATATAACCAGTTTCAAGTTCTTTGACTAGATTTATTCAGAAACCTATAATATGTCAAATATTTAATTACAATCCAAATTCAGACCTGTATCAAGCTTGAATATTGTGTCCATTTTTGCCCCAACTGTTCAGGGTTGTACCTCTGTGGGCGTATCAAGCTGCACTCAGCGAAGCAGTTTATTTTTGGAAGAATTGAAGCCAAACTAATATACTATTTTGACATAAAATGCTGTTTTATGTACAGAAACACTTAATATGGACATCGTTCAGTGTAAGGAATTTGTACAACGTCGTAAATTTTCAAACTTTAGGGTTAAAAATTAACGATTTTTTCAATGCTGTAAAATAACAGATTTGATTTTTTTCTGACATATAAATTATTAAAACATAAACAAAACTGTCCATGGTTAAGTGAATAAAATAAAGACATAAATAACTACAGATAAGTTCTCCCTCTTGTGTCACAATAGCCAGGGAAGCCATTGTCTCATAGTAACTTGTCAGGGCTGCTATCGGTGAAAGGGTTAAGGTTAATTGTATTGTATTCCTAGATTTCAAATCAGAAGCCTATACATAAAATTATGTTCATGCTCCAATAATACGAACGTGCAAACCTTGTTGAAATAATTTTTTGTGCTGTAATAGAGGCTAAAATCAAATGCTTCATGCAATAATAAATACATGTAAAACTTATACACTCGGTGGCCAAAGTTTATAGATTTTTGTGTTATGAATGCCATTCTTTAGGGTAATTTTAAACATGCATATCTTTGTTTGATCATAATAATTTTCAAGTATTTCCTACCTGTCATATAGGATTTGGTCGTGGAGTTCTTCGTGAAGGCTTTTCTACACAAGCACAAGTGAATGGGTTTTCTGATGCAACAGAAGGAGTAAAGGAAATGAGCATATCTAAACCTCCTGCCTTTGGAGGAAAGCCTGGTGGCTTTGGTTCTCAAAATGGTGACACCAAAAGTGGATTTGGTGGTGGGGGATTTGGAGGAAAAAGAGGTGGAGGAGATGGTGGATTCGGCAGCAAAGGGGGGTTTGGAGGAGGTGGTACTGATGGAGGATCCAAATCTGGTTTTGGAGGAGGTCTGTTTATACACTTTACAATGGAAGTCAACCTCATCAATATTAGAAATCTGCATGTTTGTTTCACAATAAAAATTATCATGAACAATTTTTATACGACCGCAAAAATTGAAATTTTTTGGTGGTATATTGGTATGACGTTGGCGTCGTCGTCCGAAGACACATTGGTTTTGGCACTCTAACTTTAGTTTTAGTGAATGGATCTCCATGAAATTTTACCATAAGGTTCAATACCACGAAAGGAAGGTTGGGATTGATTTTGGGGGTTATGGTACCAACAGTTAAGGAAATAGGGGCCAAAAAGGGGCCACAAATAAGCATTTTTGTAACTTCCAGACAATAACTTGTGTGTTAGTGTATGGATCTCTCTGACATTGTACCACAAGGTTCCATATCACAAAGGGAAGGCTCTAATTGATTTTGGGGGTAATTGCCTCAAAATTTTAGGAAAAAAGGGCCAAAAACAAGCATTTTTATGCGACCGCAAAAAAATTTTTGTGGTCGTATATTGGTATGACGTTGGCGTTGTCGTCGTCCAGCGTCGTCCGAAGACACATTGGTTTTCGCACTCTAACTTTAGTTTAAGTGAATGGATCTTTATGAAATTTTACCACAAGGTTCAATACCACAAAAGGAAGGTTGGGATTGATTTTGGGGGTTATGGTAATAACAGTAAAGGAATTAGGGGCCAAAAAGGGGCCAAAAATAAGCATTTTTGTAACTTCCAGACATAACTTGTGTGTTAGTGTATGGATCTCTCTGACATTGTACCACAAGGTTCCATATCACTAAAGGAATGCTGGGATTGATTTTGGGGGTAATTGCCTCCAAATTTTAGGAATTAGGGGCCAAAAAAGGGGCAAAAAACAAGCATTTTTCTAGTTTCATGACAATAACTTGTGTGTAAGTGTATGGATCTTTCTGAAATTGTACTACAAGGTTCCATATCACAAAGGGAAAGCTGGGTTTGAGTTTGGGGGTAATTGCCCTAAACGTTTAGGAATTTGGGGCCAAAAAGGGGCCAAAAAACACATTTTTTTCTAGTTTCCAGACAATAACTTGTGTTCAAGTGTATGGATCTCTCTGAAATTGTACTGCAAGGTACCATACCACAAAGGGAAGGCTGGGATTGAGTTTGGGGGTGATGAATCATAATGGGGGTTGAAAAAATTTTGGGGGGGGATTTATTTTTTTTTCCTTTTTTGTTTCTTTTAAAATTTTCCATTTTAAGTTGGTTATTTCTGATTTATATTTAAAATCAAATAATAATGATATGGTAGGAGATACACACCAAACAGGATGTGTAAATTATTATATAATAAGTATTATGCAATAGCAAGAAATTTTCAATTGCACAGTATTGCACAATAGCAAGAAATCTTCAATTGCACAGTATTGCGCAATAGCAAGAAATCTTCAATTGCACAGTATTGCGCAATAGCAAGAAATATCCAATAGCACAATATTGCGCAATAGCAAGAAATTGTCAATTGTACAGTATTGCGCAATAGCAAGAAATATTTAATAGCACAGGATTGTGCAAAAGAAGATACTTCCTATAAATTGCTTATTTCTTGACCAATTTCAATGGGGTTTTATTCTTGATTTCATGGGGTTCTTTAATATGCTGAATATAACCGTGTATTTAGTTTTTGGATTTTGGGCCCCGTTTTTAAATTGGTCCACATTGAGGTCCAAAGGGTCCAAAATTAAACTTTGTTTGATTTCATCAAAAATTGAATTATTGGGGTTCTTTGATATGCCGAATCTAACTGTGTATTTAGATTCTTAAATTTTGGTTCCGTTTTCAAATTGGTCTACATTAAGGTCCAAAGGGTCCAAAATTAAACTTAGTTTGATTTTAACAAAAATTGAATTCTTAGGGTTCTTTGATATGCTGAATCTAAACATATATTTAGATTTTTGATTATGGGCCCAGTTTTCAAGTTGGTCCAAATCGGGGTCCAAAATTAAACTTTGTTTGATTTCAACAAAAATTGAATATATGGGGTTCTTTGATATGCTGAATCTAACCATGTATTTAGATTTTTGATTTTTGGGCCCCGTTATCAACTTTGTCCACATTGAGGTCAAAAGGGTCCAAAATTAAACTTTGTTTGATTTCATCAAAAATTGAATTATTGGGGTTCTTTGATATGCCGAATCTAACCATGTATTTAGATTCTTAATTTTTGGTTCCGTTTTCAAATTGGTCTACATTAAGGTCCAAAGGGTCCAAAATTAAACTTAGTTTGATTTTAACAAAAATTGAATTCTTAGGGTTCTTTGATATGCTGAATCTAAACATGTATTTAGATTTTTGATTATGGGCCCAGTTTTCAAGTTGGTCCAAATCGGGGTCCAAAATTAAACTTTGTTTGATTTCAACAAAAATTGAATATATGGGGTTCTTTGATATGCTGAATCTAACCATGTATTTAGATTTTTGATTTTTGGGCCCCGTTATCAACTTTGTCCACATTGAGGTCAAAAGGGTCCGAAATTAAACTTTGTTTGATTTCATCAAAAATTGAATTCTTGGGGTTCTTTGATATGCTGAATCTAACCATGTATTTAGATTTTGGATATTGGACCATAATAGGTGAATGTCCAATTTAAAATTTTTAAGTTCTTAGACCACATTCAATCTGTGTTAGAAACCTATGCTGTGTCAAATATTTAATCACAATCCAAATCCAAAGCTGTATCAAGCTTGAATGTTGTGTCCATACTTCCCCCCAACTGTTCAGGGTTCGACCTCTGCGGTCGTATCAAGCTGCGCCCTGCGGAGCATTTTATTCTAGTTTCAGGACAATAACTTGTGTGTAAGTGTATGGATCTTTCTGAAATTGTACTACAAGGTTCCATATCTCAAAGGAAAAGCTGGGTTTGAGTTTGGGGGTAATTGCCCTAAACGTTTAGGAATTTGGGGCCAAAAAACACATTTTTCTAGTTTCCAGACAATAACTTGTGTTCAAGTGTATAGATCTCTCTGAAATTGTACTGCAAGGTACCATACCACAAAGGGAAGGCTGGGATTGAGTTTGGGGGTGATGAATCATAAGGGGGTTCAAAAAATTTGGGGGGGGGGGGGGGTTTCCTTTTTTTTTTTTTCCTTTTTTTTTTCTTTTAAAATTTTCCATTTTAAGTTGGTTATTTCTGATTTATATTTAAAAGCAAATAATAATGATATGGTAGGAGATACACACCAAACAGGATGTGTAAATTATTATATAATAAGTATTGTGCAGTAGCAAGAAATTTTCAATTGAACAGTATTGCACAATAGCAAGAAATCTTCAATTGCACAGTATTACGCAATAGCAAGAAATATTTAATTGCACAGTATTGTGCAAAATAGATACTTCGTAAAAATTGCTTATTTCTTGATCAATTTCAATGGGGTTTTATTCTTGAATTCTTGGGGTTCTTTAATATGCTGAATCTAACCGTGTATTTAGTTTTTGGATTTTGGGCCTTGTTTTTAAATTGGTCCAAAGGGTCCAAAATTAAACTTTGTTTGATTTCATCAAAAATTGAATTATTGGGGTTCTTTGATATGCCAAATCTAACCGTGTATTTAGATTCTTAATTTTTGGTTCCATTTTCAAATTGGTCTACATTAAGGTCCAAAGGGTCCAAAATTAAACTTAGTTTGATTTTAACAAAAATTGAATTCTTAGGGTTCTTTGATATGCTGAATCTAAACATGTATTTTGATTTTTGGGCCCCGTTATCAACTTTGTCCACATTGAGGTCAAAAGGGTCCAAAATTAAACTTTGTTTGATTTCATCAAAAATTGAATTCTTGGGGTTCTTTGATATGCTGAATCTAACCATGTATTTAGATTTTGGATATTGGACCATAATAGGTGAATGTCCAATTTAAATTTTTTAAGTTCTTAGACCACATTCATTCTGTGTCAGAAACCTATGCTGTGTCAAATATTTAATCACAATCCAAATGCAAAGCTGTATCAAGCTTGAATGTTGTGTCCATACTTGCCCCAACTGTTCAGGGTTCGACATCTGCGGTCGTATCAAGCTGCGCCCTGCGGAGCATTTTATTATAATATTTTTTGCAAAAAAATCCCCGCTTGGATCAGTATAGTTTAATTAATGTTTTGTTTGCACTTTTATTAGAAATATTTTATTTTGACAAATGTTTTAGTATAGTTTAATTAAAAGATCAGAAGCATTGTTCAGTCAGTTAACATGGTTTAGCTTAACCTGTTTAAATAATTTCAGCCCCAAAATAATACATGTCTGTTTATGGTAACATCCATGGGGGGAATGGGTTCAGTCTGCCTTTCAATTTTATTTTGTTACAAAACACTAACTTTAAATCTGTATACAGTCTTTTCCATTCAGGAAGATGCTACATTGTTGACATATGAGTATTTCAAGCCGAGAATATTTTTTTTCTTATAATTGAGGGTGAAAATTGTTCAGGTCTGATTGGATTACTGTAAACATATGTTAGGGGCTTTATATTCTGAGAAATAAAATGAGATTAAGCATCAGGGAAAATATTGTTGATAGAAAACAGTCAATCTTATCTGTTATAGTCTTAAGAATTGGAAACAACTTGCAATCAATTATTTGATGGCATAGAAAAGACATTGTTACATAGCATAACATAAATATTTATATACTTTTCTAGGATTTGGAGGTGGAGACAAGCCACCAAGGTAATGTTATTAATCAGTTAATTAAAGTCCTATGAAACTTCAAATTTGAAAAAAAGGTTTAATATGTTTTATATACTTGAATTGTTAAGTTTTACTATAAAACAAGTGTACTTTAAGTATTGACTTATTTTCAGTCAATTTAAGGATATTTCCAGAATTTTAGGACAATTTCAAACAATTTACATGTTTTTAGTTGCAGAATATGCATAATGTTGTGTACATGTATACAGAGATGGAGTATTGTAATTTGCATTACAGCAGATTCCATTGAGTGTGTAGCCAAAGGTAATATCTTTGGTTAGCTTGCTTGTTAGCTGAACTGTGAAGTCATTGTTAGGTTACATGTAGGTAAACTACCCTACTTTAAGAATAGACTAGTTCGACAGAAAACCAATCGATCTGTCTGTTGGACTATGCTACTTCGAAAGATGGGTAGTATACCTGACCTAATAATGACTTCACGGTTCAGCTAACAAGCAAGCTAACCAAAGATATTACCTTTGGCTACACACTCAATGGAATCTGCTGTAATAAATGGTATTTAAGGGTTGGTGTATGTGAGTTAGCTCAAGAAGGGCATCTAAATAAAGTTCATTGCTATGAGAAGTAGGTTGAAATGTGATGTATATACAAAATATTAAAAATTAACAAGTAGCAATAAACCTGGACAAGGCTTCTGACTTTGATACCCCCATAACCAAATTTAACCTTTACGATAAAGAGTGATGGAACAAGCTAAAAGTAAGAATTGATCAATAAAAAGCACAAATTAATTAATATTAGCTTCAGAGAGTAAAAGCAGCTAAGTGAAAAAGTTTTTTGAGTCAAATTAGTAAAAGATAGATTCTTGAGGCTGTTCTGTTAAAACATACATGGTACCCAATGAAGACCCTTTGAAAATGGAGCTACCATCTATAGAGGGAATTTCAGACATTAGTTTACATTTTCACTACACTGCAAAAAGTATACGACATCCATTCATTATGTGCTTCCCTGGGTCCCTTCATTACTCCGCATGTTTTATGGAGCATCCCTTTTTATACACCTGCTTTAAAAAATTGAGGGTATACTGTTTTACCTCTGTCTGTACGTCCATTCATTCGTCAGTCCGTCCATCCGTCCCATGCAAATTTTTCGTCACATCTTTCTTGGGAACTACAATACAAGGATTTCTGAAATTTGATTTCAGGGTTTGTATAAGTCAGCTATACAGTGTGATACTTTTTAGATTGATCGCTCAACAACTTCCTGTTTACCAAACACTTACATCATTTTACACAACACATCCAAGTTGAAAATTTTTCGTCACATTTTTCTCAGGAACTACATTACAAGGATTTCAAAATTTGGTTTCAGTGTTTATATAAGTCAGCTTTACCGTGTGATGCATTTCCAGATTCATCACTCAACAACTTCCTGTTTTCCGTCAAATATTTGGGCTGGGGGTATCATCGGTGAGCAGTAGCTCGCAGTTTCACTTGTTTGTTTTGTGTGGTTTTGAACAGAAAATGTATCAAAAATGGACATGATTGCAAAATACTTTCTCTGTTTGTAGGGGTGGTGGTTTTGGAGGATCAGGTAAGGATGCATTCTATTCTCATCATTGCATGTTTGACTTTCAGTACTATTTATACGACCGCAAAAAAATTTTGAGGGCGTATATTGGTATGACGTTGTCGTCCTCGTCCGAAGACACATTGGTTTTCGCACTCTTAACTTAGTTTAAGTGAATGGATCTCTATGAAATTTGACCATAAGGTTCAATACCACAAAAGGAAGGTGGGGATTGATTTTGGGGGTTATGGTACCAACAGTTAAGGAATTAGGGGCCAAAAATAAGCATTTTTGTAACTTCCAGACATAACTTGTGTGTTAGTGTACGGATCTCTCTGACATTGTACCACAAGGTTCCATATCACAAAAGGGAATGCTGGGATTGATTTTGGAGGTAATTGCCTTCAAATTTTAGGAATTAGGGGCCAAAAAGGGGCAAAAAACAAGCATTTTTCTAGTTACATGACAATAACTTGTGTGTAAGTGTATAGATCTCTCTGACATTGTACCACAAGGTTCCATATCACAAAGGGAATGCTTGGATTGATTTTGGGGGTAAATGCCTCCAAATTTTAGGAATTGGGGGCCAAAAAGGGGCAAAGAACAAGCATTTTTTCTAGTTTCATGACAATAACTTGTGTGTAAGTGTATGGATCTTTATGAAATTGTACTACAAGGTTCCATATCACAAAGGGAAAGCTGGAATTGAGTTTGGGGGTAATTGCCCAAAACGTTTAGGAATTTGGGGCCAAAAAACAAGCATTTTTCTAGTTTCATGACAATAAATTGTAAGTGTATGGATCTCTCTGAAATTGTACTGCAAGTCACCATACCACAAAGGGAAGCCTGGGATTGAGTTTGGGGGTGATGAATCATAAGGGGGTTCAAAAAATTTGGGTTGGGGATTTTTTTATTCTTTTTTTTTCTTTAAAATTTTCCATTTTAAATTGGTTATTTCTGATTTATATATAAAAGAAAATAATAATGATATGGTTTGAATAGGTAAATTAAAATTTTTTAAGTTCATAGACCACATTCATTCTGTGTCAGAAACCTATACTGTGTCAAATATTTAATTACAATCCAAATTCAGTGCTGTATCAAGCTTGAATGTTGTGTCCATACATGCCCCAACTGTTCAGGGTTCCACCTCTGCGGTCGTATCAAGCTGCGCCCCAGCGGAGCATTTGATTACCTTTTAAAATGCTTTTTGTACTCCATTACATGTTAATGTTTGGATGGATTGTCAGAGACATGTTTAATAATTGCTAAAAGTTGTAATACCCTGGTAAATTTTTTTATACTTTTGGCTCTGTAACTTTATTATGCTGTAGGAAGTAATTTTTTTTTTTTTGTATTTTCTCAAACTTGTACCTTGACACTGCTAGTAAGTCTGTAACTTAAGGCAGAAGAAAGATGGCATTTATTTTAAAATAATTTAATTTTGGATGTAACGGGTCCTCTGATTGGCTGACGTTGTTTTGTTTATCAGCTCATAGACATAATTTTGTCATGTGACCGTGATGTCATCAACGTTTTTTCATGGTTTACTCCGGCTTAAAATGAAATTTAGAATTAAATTATAAGAAATGACTAATATTTTTTCTGTCTATTCAAAATGACATAAAAAAATGTGGTGAAATTATTCAGTGTCAGTGTGCACCACATTTTTGATGTTATTTCTTCATAGACAGAAAAAAAATTTAATCATTCCTTAAATATTTACAATTTAAAGCCATTTTTGTCTCGCCTTGATGGAGTCAAAAAGCGAGACATAGGTATGCTGTTTCCGGCGGCGGCGTCAACAATGTATTAGTTTTTGATTAGGTCTAGTTCATGGTGAACCACTAGTGGTAGGTCAATGATATTTGGTATGCAGTTGTATAAGCATTGCACATCTCATTACTATAGAGATTATTTGGCCCCGCCCCCTCAGTCAAGGTCTATTGACTTTGAAACTTTTCATAGTTTACATGTATTAGTTTGTGATTAGGTCAGTTTATGGGGAACCACTAGTGGTAGGTCAATGATATTTGGTATGCAGTTGTATAAGCATTGGCATATCTCATTTCCATGGAGATTATTTGGCTCCGCCCCCTTAGTCATGGTCTATAGACTTTGAAAATTTTTCTGAGTTAACATGTATTAGTTTGTGGTAAGGTCAGTTCAAGGGGAACCATTAGTGGAAGGCCAATGTTAATTGGTGTTCAGTTGTATAAGCATTAGCACATCTCATTTCCATGGAGAATATTTGGCCCCGCCCCCTCAGTCATGGTCTAGCCACTTTGAAACTTTTGCTTACTTTACATGTATTAGTTTGTGATTAGATCAGTTTAAGATGAACTGCTAATGTTAAGTCAATGATATTTGGTATGCAAATTTATTGGCATTTGCAAGTATCGTTTCCATGGAGATTATATATCCCCACCCCTGATCATGGTTCATTGACTTTGAAACTTTTACATAGTTTACAAGTTTAGGTTTGTTTAAAGGGAACGACTTATAATAAGTCAATCGTATTTGGTATGCAGTTGTATTAGCATTGGCACATCTCATTCCATGGAGATTGTTTAGCCATGTACCTTCAGTCATGGTTCATCTTTATATTTGCATAACTTACATGTTAAAGTATTGCTATTTTAATTTCAACATTTGCATTATCAAAATTACAAAAAGGCGAGACATTATGTTAAGTTGAAATAAGTTATATTTTAAGATCTAAGAAACTTGAAAAGCTATATATATATATATTTACTGTTAATTCAGAAATTGTGGCCGATTGTTGAACACTGGACAGTAATGCAATGTTAATTATTACGATTTCAGGTAATAGTTTATACAAATAATGTTGTTATACCCCAAGCAATTTATTGTGTCAAGTATAATGTTTTTGACCTGTCCGTCAGTCCTGTTCTTGTCATCGCAACTCTCCTGAAACCACACTGACACAACAGAATTTCATGAAACTTTATAGATAATAAGGTCATACTATGTAGATGTGCATATCGACAGGAAATTATGATTCAATTTTTTTTCTAGTAGTTACCGTATATACTCGCCTAATAGTCGATCCTACTATAAGTCGGGGTCCCTTTTCAGCTCCAAATTCTAAGGATTTAGTCTTGACCCTCGTATAAGTCGGACAAAATTTGGGCATTTTTTTTTTCAGCTGACAGTAACTGAACGCCGGTAAAACCAATGCAAATCCAGGAATAATATTCATTTCTGCATTAATGTTTGTTTGGTTTGAATTTAGTTGATGCTCATCATGATAATTTATATTGCTGTTAATAATAAAGATGTATTCATTTCTCTTGTTTTGTTCACTGTTCAAATGTCAGATTAGCCATGTGTTGTTTACGTAATGCATCAATGATTTTGTAGGGTATGACTAACAACCTATTGTTTGAGAAAAGCGAATATAAACCAATATGAACCTGAAAAATTTAAAGTCAATCAACACTTGATGAAAATATTTTTCACAGCATACATAACTCAGTGTTAAATGAGCATGAACACTTCATAATTCTTATTATATTGTGATGATTAAAGGATTAAAAAAATTAAGTGAAGCTAATCAATATATTAAAATAACTAACTCCAACTCATTAGTGTCATCTGTTTACCTATCACTGATAGTTTTCACACCTTTAGTGAATACAACTCTTTGTCTCTTAATTGGGGTTATCAATGGATTATATTGGCTTGTCAATCAATTTTGTAATTTTTGTTTACCTGAGACACTATAATGAATAATATTTTGATTTTGGGAATGAATCTTAAAATTATTTTTTGATTATTATATGATTTATAAGCATTGAATTGATATCATGATATCACAATAATGACACAATAACTCCGCTGAAAACATCCTTTCACATATTTGGTACATTGTTATCTCCTTTTCATTTTTGGTTCTTGGCTCTTCTTTTGGGTTTATAGGAAAACCATGTGACCATGAAAATCAATACACAAACCGGAAACAGTAGAATTTCAACACGAATTTGCAGAAAATGTTTACCAAAGAACAAATAAAACACAAAGACAGTATTGAAGTCATTTATTTTCAACAAAAACTTTTTATTTATTGATTTATGTAGGTTTGGCAATCAAAAACGTAGTTTTGACCAGGAAATTCACTCCTGACCACTTTTCTCAAGCTTGGATTTTTCCTCTGGTCGCTAGATCTCGTCTATTAGTCGGCCCCCCTCTCTGGATTATGAATTTTACTCCCAATTTTCCGACTAATAAGCGAGTAGGAACGGTATGCCCTTTGCACTTATTGGCCTCAATATACTACTGCAACAGTTTGTCATCGCAACTGCTCTGAAACTACACAACAGGACTTCATGAAGCTTTGTAGATAATAAGGACATACTATGTAGATGTGCATATCAACAGGAAATTATGATTAAATTTTTTTTTTATATGAGTTATGCCCCTTTGAACTTATTGGTCTCAATAAACTACAGTCAGTCCTGTTCTTGTCATCGCAACTCCTCTGAAACCACACCACAGAATTTCATGGAAATTTGTAGATACATGTAATAAGGACATAATATGTAAATGTACATATCGACAAGTAATTTTTATACGACCGCAAAAATTAAAAAATTTTTGGTCGTATATTGGTATGACGTTGGCGTCGTCGTCCGAAGACACATTGGTTTTCGCACTCTAACTTTAGTTTAAGTGAATGGATCTCCATGAAATTTTACCATAAGGTTCAATACCACGAAAGGAAGGTTGGGATTGATTTTGGGGGTTATGGTACCAACAGTTAAGGAATTAGGGGCCAAAAATAAGCATTTTTGTAACTTCCAGACAATAACTTGTGTGTAAGTGTATGGATCTCTCTGACATTGTACCACAAGGTTCCTTATCACAAAGGGAAGGCTGTAATTGATTTTGGGGGTAATTGCCTCAAAATTTTAGGAATTAGGGGCCAAAAAAGGGGCAAAAAACAAGCATTTTTCTAGTTTCATGACAATAACTTGTGTGTAAGTGTTTGGATATTTCTGAAATTATACTACAAGGTTCCATATCACAAAGGGAGGCTGGAATTGAGTTTGGGGGTAATTGCCCGAAACGTTTAGGAATTGGGGGCCAAAAATAAGCATTTTTCTAGTTTCCAGACAATAACTTGTGTTCAAGTGTATGGATCTCTCTGAAATTGTACTGCAAGGTACCATACCACAAAGGGAAGGCTGGGATTGAGTTTGGGGGTGATGAATCATAAGGGGGTTCAAAAAATTTGGGGGGGGGATTTTTTTTTTTTATTTTTTTTTCTGTTTTCCTTTTTTTTTTTCTTTTAAAATTTTCCATTTTAAGTTGGTTACTTCTGATTAATATTTAAAAGCAAATAATAATGATATGGTAGGAGATACACACCAAACAGGATGTGTAAATTATTATATAATAAGTATTGTGCAATAGCAAGAAATTTTCAATTGCACAGTATTGCACAATAGCAAGAAATCTTCAATTGCACAGTATTGCGCAATAACAAGAAATCTTCAATTGCACAGTATTGCGCAATAGCAAGAAATATCCAATAGCACAATATTGCGCAATAGCAAGAAATTGTCAATTGTACAGTATTGCGCAATAGCAAGAAATATTCAATTGCACAGTATTGTGCAAAAGAAGATACTTCGTATAAATTGCTTATTTCTTGATCAATTTCAATGGGGTTTTATTCTTGAATTCTTGGGGTTCTTTAATATGCTGAATCTAATCGTGTATTAAGTTTTTGGATTTTGGGCCCCGTTTTTAAATTGGTCCACATTGAGGTCCAAAGGGTCAAAAATTTAATTATTGGGGTTCTTTGATATGCCGAATCTAACCGTGTATTTAGATTCTTAATTTTTGGTTCCGTTTTCAAATTGGTCTACATTAAGGTCCAAAGGGTCCAAAATTAAACTTAGTTTGATTTTAACAAAAATTTAATTTTTAGGGTTCTTTGATATGCTGAATCTAAACATGTATTTAGATTTTTGATTATGGGCCCAGTTTTCAAGTTGGTCCAAATCGGGGTCCAAAATTAAACTTTGTTTGATTTCAACAAAAATTGAATATATGGGGTTCTTTGATACGCTGAATCTAACCATGCATTTAGATTTTTGATTTTTGGTCCCCGTTATCAACTTTGTCCACATTGAGGTCATAAGGGTCCAAAATTAAACTTTGTTTGATTTCATCAAAAATTGAATTCTTGGGGTTCTTTGATATGCTAAATCTAACCATGTATTTAGATTTTGGATATTGGACCATAATAGGTGAATGTCCAATTTAAAATTTTTAAGTTCTTAGACCACATTCATTCTGTGTCAGAAACCTATGCTGTGTCAAATATTTAATCACAATCCAAATTCAGTGCTGTATCAAGCTTGAATATTGTGTCCATACTTGCCCCAACTGTTCAGGGTTCGACCTCTGCGGTCGTATCAAGCTGCGCCCTTGGGAGCATTTTATTATCAATTGTCTTTTGTAGGAGTTATGAGTCTGACACTTAGGCATCTCGTGAGATTTTTTTTGCTCAGTGTCAATATGGGGGCGCGGGGTATGTGAGCGTGCTCACAAAGGTTCTTTAATTATATTGGTGAAAACTTATCCAGTGGCAATTTTTGCAATAAGAAAAACATCAGAACAATTTCTGAATGTACAGTAACATACCTCAGATAGCACTACTTTAATCCTTCCTTGAAGTATGTCTCAAACGTAATGTCAATAACAGTATTTGAATTGTCATTGAGGACATATATCTGTCTGTCAAACAGCTGTGAATGGTTTCTTTCATTTGTCTACTCATAAAATTGGCAATGATTTTTCTCAGTTATTCACCAAAATCACCAAAATTAAATAACCCTATCATAAAAGATTCTATTACACAATTTAGAATTATGATTTGTTTTTCAGGTGGTGGAAATTGCTTCAAATGTAATGAAAGTGGGCATATGGCAAGAGAATGTCCTAATGCTGAACAAGGTAAATTTGCCCAGCCTTCCATAGTAGGGAATGTGCATTATGTATTCTAGTGCCTTTGTTGATTAGGCTGTCCTGTATCATGTTGAAGGTTTTGGTTATAGTATTTACCATGAAGTTGTGGTCACATCAACTTAAAACTTGCTACTCCTGTTCATTGTGAGGCAAACTTTTAAAATGTAATGCAAATAACGATTTTGACTGTTGATTACACAGTCACAGTTCAATGAATATGGACACTTGTTAGTGGGGTTGGGGCATGGTGTGCTATGGCCACAGTCTTGTTTCTTACTGTATACTTGTGCAAATGTCTATTACCATTTGGCGAATTTAGGCAATTCTGCTAGGAAGTTTTACAGCAATCTTCCACTAATCTTAAATTCAAACAGTGTTCTCCCAAGGATTTTTAGATAGCACCAGGGTAATCAATGCAACAAATTAGATACATATGTGTCGAACATAATTTGCATCGCGTCGCAACTCTTTTCCTCTATCCTCAGTATGGTTAGTTCCCATAGAGGTTTTATACGCCCTTTTACGGGACGTATTATGGTATACCGTTGACCCTCTGTCCATCCGTCGTCCGTCAACATGTCGGACATTAACTCAAAAAAGCTTTAACCAATATGCATGAAACTTTGGTGAATTGTTTATATCTATTGACGTGTGCTCCCTTTCGTTTTTTATAAATTTCAGATTTACCGTTTCCGAGTTATGGGGTTTTATTCATTAAAAAAGGGGGATTTTCCAGTTTTCTGACAATAACTCGAGAATGCTTTCACCAACTTGCAAGAAATTTTAGTGAATTGTTTATATCTATTGACATGAGCTCCCTTTTGGATTTTTATAAATTTTAGATTTAAAGTTTCCGAGTTACAGGGTTTTACTCATATAAAAAGGGGGATTTTCCAGTTTTTTGGACAATATCTAAAAAATGCTTTCAGCAGTTCTCATGAAACTTTGGTAAATTATTTATAGCTATTGATGTAATCTCCCTATTGATTTTCATAAATTTCAAATATGACATTGAGAAGAAATTGAACTTTATTTGTTTATAGTCTGACAACAGATTTACTAAGTATTGCGCAACAGCACAGTGTATTGCACAACAGCGAGAAATCTTGAATTGAATATAAATTCTATTCATATAACCAATTTCAAGTTCTTTGACTACATTTATTCAGAAACCTATAATATGTCAAATATTTAATTACAATCCAAATTCAGACCTGTATCAAGCTTGAATATTGTGTCCATTTTTGCCCCAACTGTTCAGGGTTGGACCTCTGTGGGCATATCCAGCTGCGCTCAGCGCAGCTTTTTTTTTTTTTTTTTTTTATTCATTTGAGTTTTTCTTTTCTTTTGTACTGTGTGGTAGGGTCACCAAGTAACTAACTAATACGAAGGGATGAACTCTTCAATGTGTGTGTAACTAGCACTTGAGCCTTCCTTAACTTTGTTATTTACTAGACCTTAATGCAGTGTAAGAAATAATAATCTCCTTTCATTCAAAGGCATGATATGCATATGATAACATAAAGAATACATGTATATGTAATGTTTAAACTATAATGTCTATATAATACTGGTTTGTTTTCATGAGAGTATTGGAGATATTACCTCTCATTTACTATGTATAATTTCTGTATGTATATAGAATTTAAATTTTTATTAAATTACATTCCATTTCAATAGTTAGCAATTTATTTTTAACTTATAAGTACTATGTGTAAACATATTTTTAGCATGAGAATTTCAAAATAGCCAAACATAGGGGGAATAAGTCAATATCTTTATGAATTTATTGTGAAAATGTGTTTTTGCTGTTTAAAAAACACTCATCATGCCTTTGGTGAAATGACAGAACCTTTTCAAAAGTAGTCACTTTAGTGTCCAAATTAATTGTGACTGATGTATAAAACTCATTTAATCAGCTGCCTAACTGGAAGAAAACCATCAGTCAAAAACGAAAGTTTGTTGTAAAAGAGAAGGAAGACTCATTAAAAGAGACAGGATATATGATGCTAGCTTGGACAAATTGCTTCATACATAATAAAAATGCATAATTGACAATTATTATTTAATGGACCAACAGTTAATCTTTTATCAAGTATAAACAATTATACAGCATGTGTACAACTACCGTTAAAAGGCTTGTATAGTCTGCGGTTTTATTCTCCAAAATTGACCCTGACAGCAGGGGTGCGGACTATAGAGTACAATAAGCAAGAAATAAGAGAGAAAATTTCAATTTCGCGATGTGATTTGTTTACGTTCCGCCATGTTTGTTATTGACATTGTAAAGGGCTCTCTTATCATTTTTCAAACCAATAATTTTACCCAATCCATATTAATAAGTTATTTTTATTCAATATCAAATTAATACTGAAAAATTTAAAAATTGAATGCTTCATTACAAAATTCTTGTTTCTTTTCAATGCATTGCTAAATATAAACTGGTATCTGCTTGAATGAAATCGTACAAAAAAAGTAAAAAAAGACAACCGTAAACCAGCTTACGATGTGTAAACTACAAAACATAATCGGTTATTATTCGTTCCATTTTGGTGTTTCCTTTTGACAAATATGTTTTGTATTGGTTAAGACCCTTCAAAAATTAATGTGATAGATATATTAAACAATGTTTTACATAAGGAGGGATCTGTTTTAAGTCGTATTATAGTGATATCTATTATGTGGAGATTTGACTCTCACCAGGTTTTTTAATCTTTTACACGTGCTTTTCAAACTTCCGGTTTAAACATACACAAGTTTCTAAATTGTTTTTTGTGTGATTTAAACTTATTTTAACCAGCGTGAAGTGTTTTAGAACCATTTTACAAGCAGCCTCAGCTTCTGTTTGGTGATGGAAAATAGGTTTTTCCAAGAAAATACCGCAAACAACCACACACGATTTAAAATTACCGGAGTTTCATTAGACCTTTTCTAACAGTTACAAAAAGTTTTTTTACCTGAAATTTCGTGGGGAGAAGGGGGTGCAACTATACAAGCCCGATTACGGTATCTGCATTGCAAGTGTCCAAATTCAAATTTCCGATTACATCACTGGTCTACGCTCAGGGGTTTTTCTGGGTATTTTGGGAAAAAGGACCCTGGCCAGTTTTGGGAATTTTTTCACGCGCTTTTCAATGAAATTGGGAAAACAGCAAATATACCAGATTTGAGTTTTAGTGTGTTAAGTTCATTAAAAGTTATCTTTTATTGTGAAAATAAAGTAAGAAACTTCCAGAATTTTACTGGCCCTTCAAAATTCAGTAGAAATTACCTTTTGGGATTGTAGTTATATGTTTACACTATAAAAACATCTACATGTAATATCAACATTTATTAATGATTAGGAAAATTACTGTCACATTTTATTGGATTTTGACATGAAAATTTGTGAACTAAAAGTAATTTTGAGTTTCTGTATAAAATATTTCCTGCTTTTTATACGACCGCAAAAATTAAAAATTTTTTGGTCGTATATTGGTATGACGTTGTCGTCGTCCGAAGACACATTGGTTTTCGCACTCTAGCTTTAGTTTAAGTGAATGGATCTCCATGAAATTTTACCATAAGGTTCAATATCACGAAAGGAAGGTTGGGATTGATTTTGGGGGTTATGGTACCAACAGTTAAGGAAAAAGGGGCCAAAAATAAGCATTTTTGTAACTTTCAGACAATAACTTGTGTGTAAGTGTATGGATCTCTCTGACATTGTACCACAAGATTCCATATCACAAAGGGAAGGCTGTAATTGATTTTGGGGGTAATTGCCTCGAAATTTTAGGAATTAGGGGCCAAAAAAGGGGCAAAAAACAAGCATTTTTCTAGTTTCATGACAATAACTTGTGTGTAAGTGTTTGGATATTTCTGAAATTGTACTACAAGGTTTCATATCACAAAGGGAAAGCTGGAATTGAGTTTGGGGGTAATTGCCTGAAACGTTTAGGAATTGGGGGCCAAAAAGGGGCCAAAAATAAGCATTTTTCTAGTTTCAAGACAATAACTTGTGTTCAAGTGTATGGATCTCTCTGAAATTGTACTGCAAGGTACCGTACCACAAAGGGAAGGCTGGGATTGAGTTTGGGGGTGATGAATCATAAGGGGGTTCAAAAAATTTGGGGGGGGGATTTTTTTTTTTTTCTTTTTTTTTCTTTTTTTCCTTTTTTTTTTCTTTTAAAATTTTCCATTTTAAGTTGGTTATTTCTGATTTATATTTAAAAGCAAATAATAATGATATGGTAGGAGATACACACCAAACAGGATGTGTAAATTTTTATGTAATAAGTATTGTGCAATAGCAAGAAATTTTCAATTGCACAGTATTGCACAAGAGCAAGAAATCTTCAATTGCACAGTATTGCGCAATAGCAAGAAATATCCAATAGCACAATATTGCGCAATAGCAAGAAATTGTCAATTGTACAGTATTGCGCAATAACAAGAAATATTCAATTGCACAGTATTGTGCAAAAGAAGATACTTCTTATAAATTGCTTTTTTCTTGATCAATTTCAATGGGGTTTTATTCTTGAATTCTTGGGGTTCTTTAATATGCTGAATCTAACCGTGTATTTAGTTTTTGGAATTTGGGCCCCGTTTTTAAATTGGTCCACATTGAGGTCCAAAGGGTCCAAAATTTAACTTTGTTTGATTTCATCAAAAATTGAATTATTGGGGTTCTATGATATGCCGAATCTAACCGTGTATTTAGATTCTTAATTTTTGGTTCCGTTTTCAAATTGGTCTACATTAAGGTCCAAAGGGTCCAAAATTAAACTTAGTTTGATTTTAACAAAAATTGAATTTTTAGTGTTCTTTGTTATGCTGAATCTAAACATGTATTTAGATTTTTGATTATGGGCCCAGTTTTCAAGTTGGTCCAAATCGGGGTCCAAAATTAAACTTTGTTTGATTTCAACAAAAATTGAATATATGGGGTTCTTTGATATGCTGAATCTAACCATGTATTTAGATTTTTGGGCCCCATTATCAACTTTGTCCACATTGAGGTCAAAAGGGTCCAAAATTAAACTTTGTTTGATTTCATCAAAAATTGAATTCTTGGGGTTCTTTGATATGCTGAATCTAACCATGTATTTAGATTTTGGATATTGGACCATAATAGGTGAATGTCCAATTTAAAATTTTTAAGTTCTTAGACCACATTCATTCTGTGTCAGAAACCTATGCTGTGTCAAATATTTAATCACAATCCAAATTCAGAGCTGTATCAAGCTTGAATGTTGTGTCCATACTTGCCCCAACTGTTCAGGGTTCTGCGGTCGTATCAAGCTGCGCCCTGCGGAGCATTTTATTATACTTGCGGTCGTATATTGGTATGGCGTTGTCGTCGTCCGAAGACACATTGGTCTTCGCACTCTAACTTTAGTTTAAGTGAATGGATCTCTATGAAATTTTACCATAAGGTTCAATACCACAAAAGGAAGGTTTGGATTGATTTTGGGGGTTATGGTACCAACAGATAAGGAATAAGGGGCCAAAAATGAGCATTTTTGTAACTTCCAGACATAACTTGTGTGTTAGTGTATGGATCTCTCTGACATTGTACCACAAGTTTCCATATCACAAAGGGAATGCTGGGATTGATTTTGGGAGTAATTGCCTCTAATTTTAGGAATTGGGGGCCAAAAAAGGGGCAAAAAACAAGCATTTTTCTAGTTTCATGACAATAACTTGTTTGTAAGTGTATGGATCTTTCTGAAATTGTACTACAAGGTTTCATACCACAAAGGGAAAGCTGGAATTGAGTTTGGGGGTAATAGCCCAAAACGTTGAGGAATAAGGGGCCAAAAATAAGCATTTTTCTAGTTTCCAGACAATAACTTGTGTTCAAGTGTATGGATCTCTCTGAAATTGTACTGCAAGGTACCATACCACTAGAGGCAGGCTGTTATTGATTTTTGGGGGTAATTGCCTCAAAATTTTAGGAATAAGGGGCAAAAAACAAGTATTTTTCTAGTTTCAGGACAATAACTTGTGTGTAAGTGTATGGATCTTTATGAAATTGTACTACCAGGTTCCATATCACAAAGGGAAAGCTGGTATTGAGTTTGGGGGTAATTGCCCTAAACGTTCAGGAATTTGGGGTCAAAAAAGGGGCCAAAAAACAAGCATTTTTTTAGTTTCCAGACAATAACTTGTGTTCAAGTGTATGGATCTCTCTGAAATTGTACTGCAAGGTACCATACCACCAAGGGAAGGCTGTTAATGAGTTTTGGGGTGATGAATCATAAGGGGGTACAAAAAATTTGGGGGGGGGGGATTTTTTTTTCTTTAAAATTTTCCATTTTAAATTGTGATATGGTTTGAAAAGGTAAATTAAAATTTTCTTAGACCACATTCATTCTGAGTCAGAAACCTATGCTGTGTCAAATATTTAATCACAATCCAAATTCAGAGCTGTATCAAGCTTGAATGTTGTGTCAACACTTGCCCCAACTGTTCAGGGTTAGACCTCTGCGGTCGTATCAAGCTGCGCCCCAGCGGAGCATTTTATTCTTTTTTTTTTCCATATATCTTTTGGTTTTCAATTCTAGTGTTTATATTTGATCGGCAAACCCAGGAATTACCCTTATCCGCCCCCGGAATCTGACCTGGTATTGTAGTTGTCTTCATTTCCAGTTTATGGCATCCATTGTTTTTCAATGTTGTTTTTGTCAGTCAGATACGATTTTACTTGGATTTACACATTACTTGTTTGAGATTTTCGGCATAAAGCTAGCGGTTGAACAAAATGAACATCACTGTCATGAATATTAAAGATGAAAATTAATTTTGAGATCGTTTGGGAATTTTGCTCCCAAAATTGGGAAAAATGTAGGGTATTTGCCATTGGGAATGGGTCCGAATACCAGACCCTGTGGAATGCTAGAAAAATCCATGACGCTTGGGTGGTGAGTGAAGTCATAAAATTGTCAGAAGTCATAAACTATTTCATATTAATTAAAACACGAAAGAAACAAGTTGTAAGTGCAAATTGATTGATAAAATCCAATCAGCAACAGGTAACCCTCATCAGGTAAATCAATCTCTTGTTGTAACTACCAACGTGCTGACTAAATTTCACCTGTAAAATTTTATACCTCTCAGTTCATAATTCAGGTTCAGGTCATAATTTTACCGAATTAACGGGTTTTTTTTACCGAAAATTATAGCACCACAGAACAGAAATCATAGGACCGCGGGTCCGTGGTGCATTAAGGGCCTTGGGAGAACACTGTTCAAAGATTACCCAATTTTAAGGTTTCACTGTTTTTCTTTTGAATTAGATTCAAATCTCAACACTTTCATTCATTCTTCCAATTCCTGCATTATTTTATTGTGAAAGAAATGAAATTTTCCACAGAATCATTTGCAATTTACATGTCAATTTAAACTTTTTGCCAGTTCTTTTATCCAATTGAATAAATATAAAAGCTATTGTTCTCTGTGTAGTTTATTCATTGGGACCTTTAAATTTCTTCTTGGAGAAATAAATCTCTCATTGATGAATTTACCCGAAGAAAAAAAAATCTAAGTAGATGAAAATATGTGTGTCAACTCACAAAACTGCATGTAATGTATTTATTCAATATCAATTCTATATTTTCAATCTGTTCAATAAAAACACTGTTTCAAATATTAAAAGTTGATTTCTGACAAATTTTTATACGACCGCAAAAATTAAAATTTTTTTGGTCGTATATTGGTATGACGTCGACGTCCGAAGACACATTGGTTTTCGCACTCTAACTTTAGTTTAAGTAAATGGATCTCCATGAAATTTTACCATAAGGTTCAATACCACAAAAGGAAGGTTGGGATTGATTTTGGGGGTTATGGTACCAACAGTTAAGGAATTAGGGGCCAAAAATAAGCATTTTTGTAACTTCCAGACATAACTTGTGTTTGTGTATGGATCTCTCTGAAATTGTACCACAAGGTTCCATATCACAAAGGGAATGCTGGGATTGATTTTAGGGGTAATTGCTGCAAAATTTTAGGAATTAGGGGCAAAAAAAGGGGCAAAAAACAAGCATTTTTCTAGTTTCCAGACAATAACTTGTGTGTAAGTGTATGGATCTTTATGAAATTGTACTACAAGGTTCCATATCACAAAAGGAAAGCTGGGTTTGAGTTTGGGGGTAATTGCCCTAAACGTTTAGGAATTTGGGGCCAAAAAGGGGCCTTAAAACAAGCATTTTTCAAGTTTCCAGACAATAACTTGTGTTCAAGTGTATGGATCTCTCTGAAATTGTACTGCAAGGTACCATATCACAAAGGGAAGGCTGGGATTGAGTTTGGGGGTGATGAATCATAAGGGGGTTCAAAAAATTTAGTGGAGGGATTTTTTTTTTCCTTAAAATTTTCCATTTTAAATTGGTTATTTCTGATTTATATATAAAAGCAAATTATAATGATATGGTTTGAATAGGTAAATTAAAATTTTTTTAAGTTTTTAGACCACATTCATTCTGTGTCAGAAACCTATGCTGTGTCAAATATTTAATCACAATCCAAATTCAGTGCTGTATCAAGCTTGAATGTTGTGTCCATACTTGCCCCAACTGTTGGGGGGGGATCGACCTCTGCGGTCATATCAAGCTGCGCCCCAGCATTTTATTTAGTATTGTTCCAATAAAAAATTTCATAATTTTTTGGGGTGTTTGTTAAGTTATAGAATACATTTAAGAAAGCCTTAATTTAAACCATCATTTTCCAGATTTTATTTGTCTAAAAAACAAATTTCAATAAGAATGATGTTGAAAATTTTGTCAGAAATCAAATGTTTGAATCAGTGTTTATATTGAAAAGATTGAAAATATGTTGTTGATTTTGAATAAATACATCACATGCAGTCTTGTGAGTTGATACATGTATTTTCATCTTATAAGATTTTTTTTTCATCATTGGTAAATAGAAGAAATTTAAAGTACATTTGTACCCAGTGAATAAACTACAATGAGCTAGATAGCTATTGTATTTATTCAATGGGACAAAAGTTTAAATCGACAGGTACTTAAAACTGCAAATGATTCTGTGCAAAAATTTTCATTTCTTTCCAAATAAAACTTGCTCCATTGTAACAGAGATCCTATTTGAAAATTAAAAAAAATATATATACATGCTGTATTGTAGGTGGAGGAGGAGGAGGGAGAAGTGGGAACTGCTTCAAATGTAATGAAAGTGGGCATATGGCAAGAGATTGTCCTAATGCTGAACAAGGTATTTATTTTATTTCCTTGAATTATGTCAATATAAACATAAAGAGATGTTGGTTTATGTCAAATAGATAGCAACCCAATGAAAAAAAATAATAGACCTCTAAATTAAAAGTTTTGAAAGTATAATTTCAACAGATTGCTGTCAAGCTCAGGAAATGGTAGTGTTTGGCAAAGTAAAATTGACGAACGCTCATATTTTTTTGTGTATCTGAGACCTTAACTTAGTGTTTGGGACATTGTGGTGCACAAGGATTGATTGTTGTTCCTGTTTAAAAGCCTTTTGAAATATGTCGGAAAACAATGGACAAGTGATAAATGCCATATTACATAGAGCTGCACACTAGCTGAATGTCTTGAAGAATTAGTTACATTAAATTAATGATTGACTATTGTAGGTGGTGGAGGAGGGAGAAGTGGGAACTGCTTCAAATGTAATGAAAGTGGTCACATGGCAAGAGATTGTCCCAACTCTGATAGTAAAGGTATTATAATGAAGTATTAACTTAGAACAAGATTGTTTGATTTTGAAAATTGATAACTCGCATGATAATGAAAGAGGGATGTATTTATTTTTATTCACTGAATGAAATTTCAAGTATTTGTTTAGTCTATATACAAGTGAGTAGTGTATTTCCTATTCGTATTTTAAAGTATTAAACTTTCTTCATGAAACATTTTAACTTTTAACCTTGCACACATTTTCCACAACCCAGGGACTTGTTTAAGGACACTTGCATTGTAATTTGTTTGTTGAAAAATCAAGGAATTCTGCCCTTTTCCACATAAAAATAGGGATGTTTGTCCTGTTCTGCACACAGTTCTAATTTATTCTTGTGTAATGAGTATCTATGCTCTTTATAAAGCAATATATTTGTCACATGGCTGTTCCCTAAAAACATAATTGGACCCAGGGAAGGCACTTGAAATTTCAACTGAGGATGGGTGTCAAATACTGTTTTTATACGACCGCAAAAAAATTTGCGGTACTATATTGGTATGTCGTTGTCGTCGTCGTCCGAAGACACATTGGTTTTCGCACTCTAACTTTAGTTTAAGTGAATGGATCTCTTTGAAATTTTACCTTAAGGTTCAATACAACAAAAGGAAGGTGGGGATTGATTTTGGGGGTTATGGTACCAACAGTTAAGGAATAAGGGGCCAAAAATAAGCATTTTCTAGTTTCCAGACAATAACTGTGGAACGGTGTATTGATCTCTCTGAAATTATACTACAAGTTTCCATACCACAAAGTGATGGTTAGGATTTGCTTTGGGGGGTTATGGCTCAAACCGTTTAGGAATTAGGGGCAAAAAAGGGGGAAAAGCAGGGTTGTCCTGGTTAATGGACAAATACTTTAGTACAAAACATAATTTAAAGCAGTGTAAGGGAGATAAATCAAATACATCATTGAAATTATCTCCCTTACACTGCTTTTAAATTATGTATAAAGTAATGGTTAATGAACAATTAAGATAATTTAAAACAGTGTAAGGGAGGTAATCCAAATACAACATTTTGGTTACTTCCCTTACACTGCTTTTAAATTATGTTTAAAGAAATGCATATTTATAAAGGAAGACCAGTAAAAATATCTGCAAATGTTGCATCTTTTTTTTTAACAAAAAAATCCATATGAAAGATTTGACACTATATTTTAAATTCTATTATAAAATAGATTAAGTTAGCACTATGGTAAATTTAAATGGGTAATTATGGTTGCAAACTCCATTGGAAATTTGAATTGAGATTATGACCATATCTTTAGGGAAAGAATTTTTTTGGGGAAAAAAGGGGGGGTAAAAAGAAATTGTGGGGGGTCAATTTTTTCTCATTTCAGATTTCAGAAATTAAAAAGAATTATTCTTCAAATATTTTTTTTTCAAATTTCAAATATTGAAAAATTTCAAGAAGTAATCTTTAATTGCACAGTGTGGCGCATTAGATTTGTAAAATCTTTGACCACATTTATTTATTTGTTATGCCGAATCTAACCGTGTATTTAGATTTTTAATTTTGGGTCGAGTTTTCAAATTGGTCTACATTAAGGTCCAAAGGGTCCGAAATTAAACTTTGTTTGATTTTAACAAAAATTGAATATATGGGGTTCTTTTATATGCTGAATCTAAACATGTATTTAGATTTTTGATATTTGGACCAGTTTTCAAGTTGGTCGAAATTGGGGTCCAAAATTAAACTTTGTTTGATTTCAACAAAAATTGAATATATGGGGTTCTTTGATATGCTGAATCTAACAATGTATTTTGATTTTTTATTTGTGGACCCCGCTATCAAATTGAGGTCAAAAAGGTCCAAAATTAAACTTCGTTTGATTTCATCAAAAATTGAATTATTGGGGTTCTTTGATATGCCAAATCTAACCGTGTATTTAGATTTTTAATTTTGGGTCCTGTTTTTTAAATTGGTCTACATTAAGGTCCAAAGGGTCCAAAATTAAACTTAGTTTGATTTTAACAAAAATTGAATTCTTGGGGTTCTTTGATATGCTGAATCTAAACATGTGTTTAGATTTTTTATTTGTAGGCCCCGCTATCAAATTGGTTCATATTGAGGTCAAAAGGGTCAAAAATTGAATTATTGGGGTTCTTTGATATGCCAAATCTAACCATGTTTTTAGATTTTTAATTTGGGTCCCGTTTTTTAAATTGGTCTTCATTAAGGTCCAAAGGGTCCAAAATTAAACTTAGTTTGATTTTAACAAAAATTGAATTCTTGGGGTACTTTGATATGCTGAATCTAAACATGTGTTTAGATTTTTGATTATGGGCCCAGTTTTCAAGTTTGTCCAAGTTGGGGTCCAAAATTAAACTTTGTTTGATTTCAACAAAAATTGAATATATGGGGTTCTTTAATATGCTGAATCTAACCATTTTTTTTGATTTTGGACATTGGACCATAATAGGTAAATTAAAAAAATTCAAGTTCTTAGACCACATTCTTTCTGTGTCAGAAACCTATGCTGTGTCAAATATTTAATCACAATCCAAATTCAGAGCTGTATCAAGCCTGAATGTTGTGTCCATACTTGCCCCAACTGTTCAGGGTTCGACCTCTGCGGTCGTATCAAGCTGCGCCCAGCGAAGCATTTTATTTACTATAGAAATATAAGTGAAATTCTATAATTGTCTCTACAAGTGGTTTGCCCATTATGAAAGTGCTTTCCCTGTGTACCATGTATGTTTTAATAGAACCATTGTTGGAACATGTACAGTGCAAATTTTAAAAGAATTTCAAGACAGAGGTGTACACAATTTCAACATGTGTCTGATTACATTTAAATGGCTATCTCAATCCACCTCTACATGATTTTCTAATTTATTTAAGGAAATGCATGCTTCAAGTGTAATGAAGAAGGACACATGGCCAGAGATTGTCCTAATGCCGAATCTAAAGGTCTTTCATTAGGTGAGTAAATCGTGCCTACAAATAATTTTATTACTTAATGTTGTTGTACACTTTGTATTTAATATGTTACCCATATGGCTTTTGAGATTATTCACAAAAAAGCAGATAAGAGAACGTTTTCAATTTCTGTAACTGACAAGATAAGGTATATTTGATTGGAAGGTGCCAGTTGGAAGTGGTGGTCTGATATGACACAAAGAATGTTGAAAGTAATCATGTTTCTGTTTGCTGGATGGAAAGTGAAAGCTAATCACATTTGCATATTCAGATTGTAATATACATGTATAAAGAAATATTTTGGAGAAGGGAAACGAGTGGAAATACTGCAAAATATTCTTATGGCTTGAATACATATCAACATATTTTTTATATGGTCCTCTTCAAAATGATTGGAATTTGATCAGGCAAAACCTATTGGTTTGTCAGAATAATTGATAATTGGGGTTTTCTTCATTTTTATTAGGGTCTTGTTTGCTAAAGGTTTGTCTCATTTTTATGCCAGTCATTTACAGAATGTATTCAGGGTTTGACACTAACTAAATGTATGTACTAGCCTGCAGGGCTAGTGAAATTATTATTCTACTAGTCCTCTTGTCAATTCACTAGCCCTCCAAGTGCCTTTGGCATGCCCCCCCAGAAAATTTTGATACAAATGAAGCTAAATCCTGTGTTCTGGAGCATTTCCAGAGGGTTTTGAACATGTTTTGTTTCATGAAATTTCACTGGTTTGTTAACCCTTAGACTGCTGCATTCATTTCTATTGTACTTTAGTGTATTGCTGAATAAAATTTTAATCACTGATGAAATAAACATGTTTACTTACAATTGCAATATCTTTGTAAATATTGAATATTCATCAATAAAAGTTATATACAAAAGTATTGTTATATTCTGTATTTTTTATTTATTTTGTTTTTGTGTGAGTCTCTGGTCATTTATTACCTGTACAGTTGCAAATAGAGGTTAACAAAGGTAAATTATTTTTTTTTCATGATTTATTAACGCGAATCCATCAATGTAAAAACTTTTCAAAGGTATCCATGACTTCAGAATTGAACCAATATTGTTAAAAATCTCGTAAGAACTAGTTCCATTGCGATTATCAAAAGAAAAAAGTTTCTTCTCGGACCAACGTTTTTTTTTTATGCAACTATTTTCCAGTATTTTACTTCCATGTACAAATATGTTTTAACAACAAGTTCATTGATATAACTTTCGTCAATAAATAATCTTGACAAACATAATGTTTGAATCTATCGATGTCAGTGATCAATATTGATTCACAGTTGAAAGGCGCAATGATAAACATCGCAAATCCTGTTTCATGTCATCCATTTCGAACATAGTCTGGGGAATCCCTGTGGTTCCCGCTTTAAAAGTCTTCTGTTCACAGTTTTGCTAGAATGTTTCTATTTCAATCTATTATATCTTCTGTTCTCGTCCAAATGATTTAAATTGGCCACCCCTGTTACATCGTTATCATTGAAATACTTCTGAACGTGTTGGCCATCACTCCAAACAATTTCCGCCATTTTGTTACTTTTTTCATCTAAATTTTTCACTTTCGGTTTCATCGCTTATACCTGATTTAAAGTCTTAAGAGAAACTTGAAAGTGCGCTGAATTTTAACCAATCAGAATCCATACAAGTCTAAACTGACGCAATCTCATGAATATTGACTCCGCCCATTCCATGGTAACTGTGTAAACAAATGAGATACGGAAACGACAATAGTAGCGCGTAGCAGTAGCGGACTGCTTTATCGGAACGACAATAGTCGTGCGTAGCAGTCTAAGGGTTAATAAAAAATACAAAAAAAAAAAATATTTTCATATTTTAATCATCTATATTAAGAATGTGTACGACTTATTTTGAAGACCCCTTTAGATCATTTCTTCATTATCATCCTCATTTTACTTATCATCATTACTTGTGTCTTTAATGAAGATGGATAAGTAAGGGATTTAAAAATACACCCACAGAAGAGGAAAGGTTTGCCCTTGCTGTTTTTTGTCATAATTCTTCATGGACTCCTTCTTTTCCCTTGTTGTTTGTCAGTTGGTTTTTTTTTTGCAGGACAAGATTTTATTCCTAAAAATCTGCATATTTTTACCACAGAACAAGGATTTGTATAGTATACAAATCCTTGCAGAGACCTTTAATGTCGTATATATGACCTGAATAATTCAGTGATATTGTTTGCCTCAAATTACATTCGAAACACAGCTTTTTCCCCTAGAGAAAATTCCCAAATACTAAAAAAAATGGCTTAAAATTCCTCCCAATAAGTTGTACATTTTTGCTAAACAGTGATGGTATCGGTAGTAATGTATGTAAATTTCGTAGTCATGTTATTATTTTGAAAGTATGAAAGCACGTTTAAGATCCAGGTTTCTGAATAGAAATCATCATGGCGTTTTAAACAAAATTTTGACTAGCTGGTCGGACTACTGTGATGAAAACTTTACTAGCCCTCCCTAATTTTTACTAGCCTTGGGCTAGCGGACTAGCGTTAGTGTTGAACCCTGGTTTTATGGTATCCCATTGACTCTACCCATTCATCTATAATTTGTATCTGCAATATCACTGTAACACCTTGTTAGAATTTATCTAATTTTTCTCAAAATCTTAACCAAATAATGCTGATGTTCACCTATTTTGGTTTTTTTTTATCCAAATTATTTTGAGGGTTAGTAGATTTGACATTGCTTTATGTGGGGAAGAGGGTTGGATCTTGTTTAGAGTACCTCTAGTTGTTTAATTAATGTCTTAATTGAATTGTGTATGCATTTATGTTTCAGACAAGGACCGTCCACCACCTTATATCCCACCTGCACCATCTGAAGATGAAGCTGAAATTTTCAAAACCATACACAAAGGCATAAACTTTGACAAATATGAAAAAATCCCAGTTGAGGTCACGGGAAAAAATTGTCCCGAAAAGATCTCATCATTTGATGATGCTGGATTGTATGAAGCCTTTCTTAAAAATGTGAAAAAGTCAAACTATGACAGACCAACACCTGTACAGAAATATTCTATTCCAATAGTAATGTCTGGAAGAGATCTGATGGCATGTGCACAAACAGGATCTGGAAAAACTGTATGTACTTAAAAATAAGGTTAACTTGAAAACTCAACATATAATGCTTAGTATTGGTTATTCCAAAAAGTGTTTTGTTTCTCAAAACACCTTAATGAAACGTGATTTTGATGACCATCTGCCATGCAGAATCCAGCATGTTTTGTCTACTTAGAATCGTTTTCGTTGTTAGGATTTTTCAATAAACGCTCCTTAGTAATACCAAAGAAATCATTGCTCCACATTGACGCTTAAATTTTAGCTGTTTGCATCCATTGGTTGACATTGTCTATACACAACATTTATGCACAACATTTATGCTTTCTCTTTTTGAAATCTTTAATGTCTTTGAGCACTCGAGACCGGCATGTGGGTATTGTCCAATAGAACAGACACTTACCTATTCGTTTCTTCCAAACACTTAATCTATTGACAATGATTGAGGAAACAAAGGACAAGTTCTGTTTTAAAAATTCTGTAAAGAAGAAAAAAATAATGTACTTTTTATATTGAAAAAAAAATTGAATTGCAAGAAAGGGTTGGTTGTGCAGCAACACCAAACAACTAATTTTACTGGGGCCAGCCTGACTTGTATTATTTGACTCTTTGACAAATTTTCTTTTAAGATATCCATAGTTAAAAAAGATGTGAGAGTTTTAAAAATATTTTAACTGAATTCATAATATTGCATATTTGAAACTGTCATCTTAATTTGCAGGCTGCTTTCTTGCTACCAGTTTTAACTGGAATGATGAACAATGGACTGACTGGTAGTTCATTCTCAGTAGTTCAAGAACCACAGGCTTTAGTTGTAGCTCCAACAAGAGAATTGGCAGTACAGATCTTTACAGATGCCAAAAGATTTACCCATGGAACAATGCTAAGACCTGTAGTATTATATGGAGGAACCTCTCTTGGGCATCAACTGAGGAATGTAGAACAGGGTGCACATATAGTAGTTGGTACACCTGGTAGATTAATTGATGTGATTGGTAAAGGAAAGGTAAAAAATGATAATTTTTTTCAGAAGGCTTAAGCTTTTCACGTCTGCATGTCAATCCCATCTCAGTTTAAAGTTTTGTTTTTGGTTCGTTTACCATGAAGATGTTGTTATATTAAATTGAATTTTAGTACACATGTTCATTGTTACGATTTTTTTTTTTAAATATTTGCCAAATTAGGGTTTTGAAAGAGATTTCTCAGTTCACTGAACCTGGAGAGGGGCATGGTGTTCTAAATAAAGGAAATTTATGCTTGATTTATATTAATACACCATCTGAAGGAAGAGTGTGTACTGCTTTACCTCTGTCCATACCATGAAATTTTTCCTAGAATATTACTTGTGAACCATATATCAAAGCTTCCTGAATATTTATAGCAAGCTTCATGTGAACATGCTATGTATAATGTGTTTTCACATTCATCGACCATCAACTTCCTGTTCTAATACTGAAAAAATTATATATTCTCACACATACTGGCCATGAATGAAATTTTTGGAAGAACCTTTGAATCAGAATTTCCTGAAGTTGGTATTGAGCTTCATTTTAGCATGCTAAACTGTTTGATGTGATTCACATGCATCCCTCATCAATTTTATGTTTTCCAAATACCTACATATTCTTACACAAAATGTCTGTGTATGAAATTTTCGTCATATTTTTCTCAGATCAGACCTTGCTTTTGGTCAATATCAAGCTTCATGCGAGCTTGCTTATACCCTTTGATGAGTTTTCAAATGCATCCCTCATCAACTTTTTGTTAACCAGATACTTGTTGCAGAGGTTTCATTAGTGAGGAATACCTCACAGTTCATCTCATGTTATTGGTGGTTCAGTAAATCAAGCTATGGTACTTAAGAGATAACTGTATTATATCTATGGGTTTTCTGCCGTCGAATTGAGTATCCCTATCGTCTTATCTATGGAAAAAGAACAAATAAATATTTTGGAGTTATTGCCCTTGGACAGATTAAATGTGGGGACATTGAAATGCTGTTCTTTTATAAAGATTTACAAATGTTTAATTTTTCACACAAAATGTATTTACATTTGTATTACAAACACAGCTCTATGATGAATAGATTTAAAAAAAAAAACAGACTAGATATAGAGAAAATATTGTTTTAAACAAGAGGATATTAGTAAAGCTTGTTTTCTTCTTTCCAGATCAGTTTAGAAAAGCTTAAATATCTCATTTTGGATGAAGCAGATAGAATGTTGGACATGGGATTTGGACCAGAAATCAAAAAAATAGTACATGAATTGGGAGCACCTCCCAAAGATCAGAGACAAACTCTTATGTTCAGTGCAACTTTCCCAGAAGAAATCCAGAGACTAGCCGCTGAATTTTTAAATGACTATTTGTTTTTGACTGTTGGAAGAGTTGGTGGAGCTTGTACTGATGTAGCACAGTATGTGCATGAAGTTCCCCGTGATCAGAAACGTCAAAAATTGTGTGATATCTTGTCTGAATCTGGTAAGATAAAACTTGTAATAAAAGTAAATAGCTGATTTGTTGTTGATATTACAATGATTATCATGTTAATCACAATGTTATCCATCTTAGACGGTTCATTTGTATAATATTTATTGTCCATCTTAGAAAGCTTTGAAAATGTAATCTGGGAGTCTAAAGAATGGTAAAAGGGAAGAATTGAACATCAGTAAAATATAGACTACTTTCAAATTTATGCACTTTCCCGTAAATTTCCTATGTAACAATTTTTATGTTATTACTGTTAAGTCACAGTAAAAACCAATTGTTCAATGGTGTCATTTACACCTATTGATCTTGGGTCAAACTTGTTCACAAAAAAACAACTCGAGATTGGTATGTATATATATTAAAAAAAAGTTTTTTGTACACTTGCTTAATGCATTCTGTTAATCCACTTGGCCTTTCTAATAGTTGTTACAGTGCTTGCAGTTCATTATGTGCCAACATACAGTTCTAATCATCAGTTTGATCATTCAAGAATATAAATTATAAAGCTTAAATTCGATGACTACATTCGCTTACTCTTATACTCTTAATGCAAGGACAAATCAGCCATTGATTACGTTGAACCACTAACCATTGATGGGGAAAATCATCTAACTTGTATTATTCGATGAAGAGCGGTTGTTTGACATCCACAGACAAAGCCTTTTTCCATATTAAGGACGAATGGAGTTCCTGAATCATTCAAATATTCTAACAATTATATTTTATTTTAGGTACAGACAAAACACTTGTTTTTGTTGAACAGAAAAGAAATGCAGACTTCCTTGCTACTTACTTGTCTCAGTCTGGATTTCCAACAACAAGTATACATGGGTATGTAATTATGCAAAGAGTAGTAAATGAATAGACAAACTAAACTGATTTGAAAAGAAGTAGTTGACACCATTTTTGTCATGTGTATAGTTGACAAGTCAATATCAACCAAGAACAATGCTATACAGTGAGGTGTGTTTACAGATCTTTTCGACTTCCTGTTTACGGAATACTTGTATAGTAAAACAATGGCCGTATATGAAATTTCTTTTCAGGTAACTAAAATAAGAGCATCTTGAAATCAGGCTTCATGTGAACATTCTTTATTGTGTGAAGTGTTTTCAGATTCATTGCTCATCAAACTTTTTGTTTACTGAAAACTTAAAAAGAGGGTATTATAAGCTAGGAATAGCTCACAATTATTGTTTTCATGTATTATCAGCCAATGAAGATTCATAATACAACAAAACTGAATTGTGAATTCATGGTAGGTATTTCAAGCTAGCTAGATGACTCCTGGGGACTATGCCAAATGTTGCTCTTGTATTGTGTTTCCCATAGAACATGGATTCTGCCACTTTTGATATAGTGGGGAGGGAGGCAGTGGCTTTGTAGACTTGATAGACTTAGTTGAGAAATCTGTTTGGAAAAAAACAGAATTGTTTATGGCCTTGATAGAAACTAGTCTACATATTATTCCTCAGTCTATATTTCTTATTTTTATGCCCCCGCCATAGCGATAAAATTTTAACCAATTTGATGCCTGACAGTAAAGGGCAATCCTACCCTCTTACAAATGGAAAAATTGCTTAATTTTTCGTTTCCGTTCTCTCACTTTAGTTTGCCTCATACAAATGTTATGAAACTTATGTGCAATGCTTATTACCACAAAACACACATCAAATTTGAATTTGGGTAGAGTCCTTTTACCGTTCTTGAATTATGTCATTTTATAACATTATATGCAAGCGGAGGCATCATCAGTGTCCCATGGACACATTCCCCATTTATTTAATTGGTATCTAAACACATTAGTTATATTTTTTAATAATTTTTCTTGTCAATATTAGTGGTGAACCGATTCACTGAAGAATCCATCAACAGTCTTCATAAACGTCTATGAAAATGGCTTCATGTATTTTAGGTACATTAAAGGAACATCAGGTTAACTAAACACAAAAAAAACTGAACATAGGTAGTTTGCTATAAAACTACATGTATTAATTTGAGGTTGGTTAATATTACTGTATATGTACTTTTTTCCGCGAGAACTTATTTTTGCGATTTTGGTATTGTCGATGAATTTGCATGTATTTAATTTCGCTGTATTTCAGATAATTAACGGACTTATAATTCTTAAAATTTTTCGTTATGTCTTTATTTGTTTAACAATATAAAACAAAATAAACAAAGAATATTCAATCATCAAATCAGTCCTCTGTTTTGATAGATGTTTAATAATCCGATTATTAAAGTCGTTAATTGCTTAATATAGCTGTCACATTTGGCTTGTGCTATTATTTTTCACCTTTTCACCTTTTATTCTTAATTGAATTTCTGTAAAGATATCTGGTGTTGTTTTAACAGTTTCACGGTTCAGTTGAGGTTATCTAAGGCCAACAAGGTGAACATGCATGTACAATAATAAATTCCAGTAATATTTATTCAGTGGATTTCATATTTTTATATTCATGAGAACTGCATTTGAATTCGCATGTATTTATTTTCGCGAAAATATACCTACCGCGAAATTCGTGAAAATAAGTACATAAACAGTATGTATTGTATCATTAGGTAGGTGTATTGTTGCAGCCCTAGTCGATATACCTATTTATAAACATATGTTTACATTACAGTGATCGTTTGCAGCAGGAAAGGGAGGAAGCTTTGAGGGATTTTAAAACTGGCAGAGCACCCATTCTTGTAGCTACGTCAGTGGCAGCTAGAGGGTTAGACATTCCTCTTGTTAAACATGTCATAAACTATGACCTTCCACAATCTATAGACGAATATGTACATAGAATAGGTAGAACAGGTAGATGTGGTAATGTTGGTAAATCTACTAGTTTCTATACAGATGATTCAGATGGTGGAATAGCTAAAGCTTTGTTACGGATCTTAGCAGATGTAAGTTACTATGCATTGTGCAAAATAAAATCAACAGTAGCTTGTCATTTATTAGCCATTTGTGAAATTATGAAATATAAGATTAATTTATTACTGATTTTGTGAAAGTAAATTTCTCAAATTTTAACCAGTGAATTGGACTTCTCCTTTTCAATTATTTTTATATCTAGTTTGGGCCTATTGGTTTATGGTTTATGGCATTTTTGGTGTATTTTGGCAATTTCTTGTACAAAACATGGTCTCTTCTTTTCTTATATTATTTGGAGACAATAGGCAACAAATATACAAAAATAAGGAGATGTGGAATGATTACCATGCCTTCCTTGAAAGACTACCCCATTTTATTTTGGATTTTTTTATTTATTTATTTAAGCATTACTGTCTACTGTCAACAAAATTAAATTCCATTGGTCTGTGAGACCATCAGTCATGTCGAACAAGTTTTGGTTTGATCAGAAAGGCCTTAATTTCTGACCAAATGACATACCTGTAATCTCGCAGATTATCTTTTGCACCAGGTATTCTTAAAGGCTTCTACTATCTTGAGATTTTAATATGTCTTGATCCTCTTAAATAGTCTATGTTTATATTTCAGGCACAACAAGAAGTCCCAATATGGTTGGAGGAGTATGCCAAATCTAGTCAGTCTACTGCTGGCTTCTCTAACTATGGAGGCAAATTTGGTGGAAAGGACATCAGAAAAGACCAGCCAAGGGTAATTAGTTGTAAAACATTGTATAGTTTATTTCATAAAACTTCTAGTGAAAGATGGCACTACAATATCAATACAAATACATATATTGACTGAATTTTATTAATTATTGGTGACAGTTGTAGAAGATTTCTTTACCTTAAATTTGAAATTTAATTTTTAAATAAAAAAAAGCCAAAAATTTTCAAATGTGGATACCAGATCATTGTTAAAAGAAAATGTTTTTTATGAGATTTCAATTGCCATGTTATAGACTAAACTATAAGCAAATAGTGGATATGCCTTTTGTTTTTACTTTACCCCTGTCTGTCTGTTTGTCTCGTGAAATTTTAGTCATATTTTCTCTGGACCGAGGTTCCTGAAATTTGTTATCAGGCTTCATGTAAGCATGCTTTACCATGTGACAGGGTTTCTGATTCATCAGTCATCAACTTCTGTAATCCAAATACTTGTACATTCTAAACACAATTGCCATATCTGAAATTTGTTGTCCGACTTCATGCCAGCATGCTATACCGTGTTTCGGATTCATTGCTTATCAACTTCCTGTTAACCGAATGCTTGTTATTATTCTAACAAAAACAGGCCATGTATAAAAATTTTGTCGCATTTTTCTTGGAAACTACCAAATAAGAACTTCCTGAAATTTGTTATCAGTCTTATGTGAACAAGCTTCACCATGTAATGTGTTTTCAAATTCAATTTTCTCCAACTACCTGATTACCTTAAAGCAGGGGTATCATTAGCTCATAGTTCTACTTCTGTTAACATTTTCCATCACAGACAAATTGCCATTGTGTAAAATGTCAAAAATTGTTCAGAATATTGCTGATTTTTCAGCTCATGGAATCGATTATTAAAATTATGCAAAATGCTATTTGTAGACAAGAGACAACCACACAGGAGATTCCAGTTCTTTTGGTGGAGGTGGATATAACGGAGGTTTCAGTGGAGCACCTGCCAACTCTGGAGGAGGTGATGATGAGGAATCCTGGGATTAATCGCATATTTCTGGCATTGTTATTCCAAGGGTTGTAAATAGTTTTTTGACGATGAGATACTATAAAGAACATTAACATGTTCTTTTTAATCATTTTACTCCATTCATATTTGAATGAATGCTGTAACCTGCAAGGAAGCAGGAGTTGAGTTATAGAAGAGCAGTATGCCATTTATGTATCAGCACATTGACTTTAAAAAATCTACAAAAAAATTATGATTATCAGAAATAACCTAGATACTCTCAACTTTAATGTTTTGCTAGGACCTTACAGTGGTTGCAACTACCAGAACAGACTGATCTAGGAATTTGCCACAACTGTTCATTAACACTATGTCATCAATTTAAAAAATTAATACCATGACTCAGCAGTGGGAATCCACTCTTTCAATGTACGATAATCAAAGTCAGTTGTCACACAGAGTTAGATGTTGGAATAAGATCACAAGGAACAATGTTTAAGACTAGAATTGAAGAACTTATAAAGAAGATTGAGTTTAATCAGGCCATGTCTTGCCTCAGCCTTAAACCATGAGGCCATAATATCGGAAGACTTCCTAGACTAGTAGTATAACCAAGTGAACCAACAGCTGAATCTGTTCAGTTCAGTAATCACTATGAGTCAGCTGTTACAAGATCACAAATAATAGTGTTGAAACTAGAATTGTAGAAATGTTGAACTGTGAGAAGGTTCATCATTGATTGGAAAGCGGGCATTATTTTTTTAAGTTGAAAGATCCCTATCAGACTAAACCAATTTTCATTTTATGTTTTATTTTTAATTTCATCTTAATGAGAATTGATTTGATAATGCGTTTTTTATTATTATTGTTTTATAGTAGTGCTACCTAAAATCATGTGCTTAATCAAATCCAGGTCTATTTGTTTACATAAAAGTTGTGTGTTTTTTTTCTTTGACTATAAGATGTATGCCAATAAGTCTTTCTTTAATCGTGATGAACTCTAGTCTATATGAAGTAATGTTTTTAAGTCTGTGTGGCATCCTACTAAATCAGATGATTGTTTATTGTGATAGATCTCATGAACTGTAAAATCAGAAATAGTGCAATATGTAATGGTATACCTGCTTACAAACAAGGCAAATTTTGATGATTTGAGGAAAATTTCATTAATTCTTAACCTTGTGATACTTATTGTTATACATTTAAGTTTTGTTTTTACAGCATTTCATATTAAATCATTTTCAACATTTTAATTCTGTTTCACCTTTTCAGTGCTATTGTACTAGTGTGAGGTGATTGTAGGTTTGATCCTTGGAAGCCTTATGTACTGTGGATTCATTATTATTATTATACCCCACACAACAAAATTGTGTAGGGTATAATGTTTTTGACCCGTCGGTCCTCAGTGTTCTTGTCATTGCAACTCTGAAACCACGCAACAAAATTTCAGGAAACTTTGTAGATAATAAGGACATACTATATGTAGATGTGCATATCGACAGGAAAGTATGATTCAACTTTTATTCTACTAAGGAGTTATACCCCTTTGAACTTAGAATTTTGGCCTAAATATACTACTGCAATCGTTTGTCATTGCAACTCTGAAACCACACAACAGAATTTCATGAAAATTTGTAGATAACAAGGACATACTATGTAGATGTGCAAATCGACAGGAATTTATGATTTAATTTTTTTCTAGGAGTTATGCCTTTGACTTGGAATTTTTTACTTATACGACTGCAATAGTTTGTCATTGCAACTCCCCTGATACCACACAACAGATTTTCATGAAACTTTATAGATAATAAAGACAAACTATATAGATGTGCATATTAACAGGAAATTGTCATTCAAGGTTTTTTCTATCAGTAAAGCCACTTTGAACTTAGAATTTTGGCCTAAATATACTGCTGCAACCGTTTGTCATTGCAACTCTGAAACCACACAACAGAATTTCATGAAACTTTGTAGTTAATGAGGACATAATATGTAATTGTGCATATCCACAAGAATTTTTATCAGTTGACTTTTTTTGGAGTCGAAACTTAGGAATTTGATGAGATTTTGTTTGCCCAGTAACAATGTGGGGTATGGGAGCCTGCCCACAAAGGTTCTTCAATTTGTAGAGCACTAATTTTCATGGATTCATGGATACGTTGTTTCCACAATGAATCCACAGTAACACATTCCAGGAAAGGGATAAAGTAAATTCACCATGGTTAGTCAACACAGTACATCTGCAAGCATATACTATTTATAAATATTCACAATCCCTTGTATGAGCAGAGAGTGATTACTGATAATTCACTTTGATGAACAGGCTCAAAAGCATATTCCAAGGTTACCATAATGTTACTACTGGATATAGGTAAATAGGAATCACCTTGTCAGCAACTAAAATACATATAGGGTATTAGTCTAGCTATGTGCCCGTCCGTGGACAGCTCTAGTTTTAATTTGTAAAGAAACAGGTAAAATCTATTTTTGAATGCATCACTTGTAGTTTTACCAAACCTGTAACCTTTGTAACAGGCAATTGCATACATATAAAAACAAAGAGAGATGGTATAATCACCAATGAGACAACAAGATATATATGTTATAAGGTGGAATGCTGTAGTGTCACAATTGCAAAAATTCATTGAACACAGATGGAGCATAAAACAGATATTAAGCTTGTTTGTAATTCCAGTCAGTTTATGCCACATTTTTGTCGAGCCTTCGAATTTAATCGAAACGAGACATTGCGATACTACATTCCTGCGATTAACAGCAAAAGTAGGCAAGACACTGGGTTCCACGGAACCCTTACAAATTTTTATGAAATTAAGATGGTAATATCTGACGAGTTGAAAAAAAATCAGTGTCAATCAACTATTTTTAAATGAGTTGAAACTAGTATTGTATACGGAAAATGTATTGTAAGCACTTTCAAACCTGTATTTCTTGTATGATTTCTATGAATTTATACCAGCAACGTCTTGATCCTGGTCAATTATTTAAGCAGGAATTGTATTCCTTTGAAATATAATTTACATTGAAAACTGAATTATAAGTACTTTGATGTTTAGATCAGCAAAGTCTTGGAAGAGTTCATTAATCAGCACAGATCAACTATGTTTACAGGAGTTATAATTTAGTATTTGATTTCCTTGCAAAGTCTACATGTCCATCAAACAGGGTTACCTGACCTCAATCTTATTTTATGGATATTAAGTTTTTGTGATAAGGTCTGTTTCTCCTACTGTCAGTAGTAGGTCAACTTTTTGGTGTATTTGATGTCTGACAGGTATCACCTGAACTTGACATCATTCCACAGGTTCATTGGTCAATGTTTAATTTTGTGGTTTAGTTCTTTTCTCAAATTATTCAATCTCTTTAACTATCTTTGACCACTAGATAACAGGACGGTTGTTGATTGCAAAACATTGTATACTTATCCTTCCAGAGCATCTCTAATCTTGAATTTCTAATATTTTCTGTCCATTTAATCCTGTCTTGATGCTTCAGATTTGCTTTGTTCACATATTTTTGTCTAGATTCTGATTCCCCTTGCCCACAGTTGATGGAGAATATATTACCCATCATTTTAAAAGATTTATCCTAACATGCTTAATGAATCTTTAGTGTAAACATGCAGTTGTTGACATTTTTTAACCACAATTATCAATATTGCCATTTGATCAAATATTAGCCTAGAATCAAATCATGGTTTCTTTTTTAATGAATTGATTTTACAACTTTTAAAACGCTGTAGAATTTGATTGAAACTTTTTCTATCAAGGAAAAAGTATGAATAGGCAATGAAAATATCCAGTTGTCATAAGATCGAATGAACTAACATATAAAATACAAAGATGCACTATGAATGCATTTGGAAACTAAATCTATAAACAATAGTTTAATAAAGAATATTAATATATTGAAATATTTATGTAATGTTGAGATCTACCTAGTGTCCATTTTGAAAAAAAAACTGTTGGACATCTTATAGGAGATACTGCCCACCAATTTTACCAATTTCTTTCATTTTTGTCATTTATCGTGAACACTTTTATAAATAGAGAGATACTTTATATAGTAAAAATGATTAGGAAAACAAGGTCTTCAAATGTTAATTTCTAAATGCTAACAGTTAAACAATGTCAAGAAAAATGAATTGCCCCCACACACATTTCCCATCACCCAAAGTCACATTATGTTTACAAACTTCAATCATTACCTGATGACAAATAAACCTCAATTACCATACACATCCATCTGCACCCCACTTGTAGCAATATTCAAACACCAAAAAATTATTAATTAGATTAATAAAAGGTATCCTACCAGTTACAGCTTAAACTAAATTCCTGTATGGAGCATTTTAAAAACTGAGTTAATATTAGAATAAGATGTATGATTTGCCAATAAGACAACTCGTCGTGTGAGTCTTATAGTATTATTGTTATGTGTCCACTTTTTATAAAAATGAAGATGCTATATATTTGATATCCAGGTGCAATATTCTATCTTCCTATATATTTATAATACGAAATTTCTTATATTGTACATGTTTTTGTCAGAACTATACTGTTCTATCTCCACATTCTCATTGAATGATAATGGCGGATTCGTCTAGTCGAACACCGGAAGTTCAGAGAAAAATAGTTTTATAGTGTTGTATCGCCACTTTTTTTCAAGTATTTTTGCTGTAAAATAATATAACAATTATAATTATCTTAATAGTACTATGCTTAAATTATTTGCATGGTTTGAACTCAATCTATGAGTAATTCTTAGCAAAAAAAAGCATTCCCGAATTGGAGATTATACACAATTGAAAAATCCATGATCTATTTCCAATAGAAATATAGGGATTAATTATTTGTAAAATAACATTGTTTGTCGTAAAGTGTTTTATCTCCAGAAAAGGAAGTGCTTTACTTATTTAAGGTGTTTGTCTATTCAAAAGACAATTGAACAAAGAGATACTCTTCATGTCCGTATTAATTGACTAGTTTGTCAGTTTTCTTATTGAAGGGGGACGTTAAGCAACCAACAATCAATCAATCAATCCTATGGAAGGTCGGTGGTTTTCTCCAGGCACTCCGGCTTCCTCCACCAATAAAAACTGGCTGCCACGAAATAGCCCAAAAGTGGCGTTAAAACACCAAAAATCAAAATCAAATCATGTCCGTAAATTCAATTCCTATATAGATTTTTATATATCTGTCAAATATTTATGATATTACGTTTTTATACGACCGCAAAAAATTTTGCTGTCGTATATTGGTATCAGGTCGTCGTCGTTGTCCGAAGACAGTTGGTTTCCGGACAATAACTTTAATATAATTAAATAGAAATCTATGAAATTTAAACATAAGGTTTATAACCACAAAAGGAAGGTTGGGATTGATTTTGAGGGTTATGGTCCTAACAGTTTAGGAATTATGGCCCAAATAAGCATTTTTCTAGTTTCCAGACAATAACTTGTGGAACGGTGTATGGATCTCTCTGAAATTATACCACAAAGGGATGGTTAGGATTTGCTTTGGGGGGTTATGGCTCAAACCGTTTAGGAATTAGGGGGAAAACAAGGGTGTCCTGGTTAATGGACAATTTAAAAGCAGTGTAAGGGAGGTAATCTAAACACAACGTTTTGATTACCTCCCTTACACTGCTTTTTAAATTATGTATAAAGAAATGTTGTATTGTCTTGAGATGATTAGCTGTCAATTTATTTTTAGAGGTTACTATTAAGGATTATTAATTTTAGCCATGATTATGTATGTCATTTTCTATTTTAAGACTTTTATGATGTATTTAAATGGGTAATTCTGGTTGCAAACTCCATTTGAAATTTGAATTGAGATTATGACCATATCTTGAGGGAAAGAATTTTTTTGGGGGGAATTGTGGTGGGGGGGGGGGGTCAATTTTTTCTCATTTCAGATTTCAGAAATTAAAAGGAAACATTTGCAAAAAAAAGTGGGGGGAGGGGAGTCAATACGCAACAGCATAGTGTATTGCACAAAAGCAAAAAAATGAATATAAATTCAAATCATATAACCAATTCTAAGTTCTTTGACTACAGTTATTCTGTGTCAGAAACCTATTATGTGTCAAATATTTAATTACAATCCAAATTCAGACCTGTATCAAGCGCGAATATTGTGTCCATTTTTGCCCCAACTGTTCAGGGTTGGACCTCTGCGGTCGTATCCAGCTACGCTCGGCGAAGCAATTTATTAAATGTTCGAACTCTCCA